AAAAAAATGATTTTTCAGAAAGGAAAAACGCAGTTGTTTCTGGGAATTTATTTTTAACGTTTTTTTGCACAAGAAAAATAATTTTGAAAAGTAAGTTTTGCATTGGGGCAGCACGGTGGTCGACTGGTTGGCATGTCCACCTCACAGTGCGAAGGTGCAGGGTTTGATTCTGGCTCCAGCCTTCCTGTGTGGAGTTTGCATGTTTTTCCCGGACCTGCGTGGGTTTTCTCCGGGTACTCCGGTTTCCTCCCACATTCCAAAAACATGCATGGCAGGCTGATTGAACACTCCAAATTGTCCCTAGGTGTAAGTGTGAGCGTGGATGGTTGTTCGTCTCTGTGTGCCATAAGATTGGTTGGCAACCAGTTCAGGGTGTCCCCCGCCTACTGCCCGAAGACAGCCGGGATAGGCTCCAAGTGCGCCTGCGCTCCTCGTGAGGATAAAGTGGTGCAGATAATGGATGGATGGATCATCATCATACATACATCCCAAAAAACATTGATTCCATTGGTTATACTTAATTTAAACATGAACATTGGTTGCACATGATGTAAAAAGTATTGACGTCCATACTTGCAGAAATCCCTAAAATGATTTTTCTTTGTTCTTCACCTAATCCATGTTTGTGAAGGGTTTCATTTGGGCTCCTCTTTCTTTCATATTTCGAACATTTTGTGTGATTTCTGGCTAAATATGGAAATGCAACGCAAGTGCACAAGGAAAGGCAATGGGGGGGGTGGAACGTTCCATTTGGTGGCCTGGGGTTAGGCCATTGTCCTTGCTGTCTGTCTTCACATCTCCTTCAAACTAATTAAAACATGGATGATGTGACAGACCAATGAAGAGTTGACCGAAACCCCTGCAAAGTCCGAAGAAAAAAAAAAAAAAGGCAGCGGTTAACTAATACAAACAAAATTACATCCATCATGTAGAGCATTATGCAAAGGTGGAACTGGGAATTCAAAAATTATCCAATCTGAAAAAAAAAGCATCCCGTACTTTTTGGGTTGTACTTAGTTGAATCGGTTCTTTTACCTTTAATGGCCTTTTTTTTGTTTTGTTTTTCATATCCGTACTTCACGTACGGAGTTTTGCCAGCTCTGGCATCATCACAATGCAAACAAGTTTGCATAATTTAAGGTTCGAGCATGATCTGATGAACTGGCAGGCTCGCTAGAGGGAAGACAAAGGCGACGAGGAATGCGTGGCAAACAAAGCCATGTTTGACGGATGTTCTGTAAGTCTGCCATGGAGGGGTGGGGGGTCCGTCATTGTGTCTTGGTGATTGGTGGCTTTACCTCCCGCAACATGGGATTCTTCCCACCCTTGGCCCACTCCTAGCGGAGGTTACATTCGGGAATGACTGAAACAAAGCGGCACAAAAGGCCTTTAAGGTTTGATGTGTTTATGAACGACACCAAATGTAAAAGAAGACTTCAATTGGAAACATGCACCCATCATAAAAAGTTGAGTGTATGTGCGGTAGTTGAACGAATTTTAATGCCCTGGGGCATACGGCGCTTCCCCACTTTTGTTTACCTGAGGCACATATTTCCCTTCGTAAAGGATCTCAAGGCACTCGAACAAACAAAAATGTCACCAAAAAGTGGATACATGACTTTAATTATAGACCTCCTGCCATCTGGTGGAAGAGCATTTAATTGTTCTGCCTGTTACTATACGTCACTTGGCATAGATAGAGGAACAAAGACCTGTTATTTGAAGTGTTTTTTTTTTCCACTGGAATAAAGAAGCATGCTGTTATGGTTATTATAAATACGAATATACATTGTTGGATAGATAGCTGGACAGATAGAGAGATGCCCGAAATTGCAAGTGATAGACATCGACCCCTTAAAAGATTTATCATTGCCTCTATATGCCACAAGATGGCAGCAAAGAAGAACTTTTTGTTAAAATGAAGCTCCTCAAGTAACTTCAACAGACCTCCTCGAACATAGCAAGGAAAATTGGTTTCTTGGGAATAGGTGAGTTTTAACAGAGGATAAGTTGCAAAATAACAGTTGGAAATCTATATTATTTGTGAAAGCTGAAACACATTTGCAAATTCATGTTCAAAATGCACCAGCGAATTTCATCCATCCATCATCCGTACCGCTTCTCCTCACGAGGATTGCGGGCCTGCTGGAGCCTATCCCAGCTGACTTTGGGCAGTAGGCGTTTCCACCCTAAACTGGTCCTTTCTCTTTTTTATGTTTTTTTTTTTTACAGTAAACTTAAACTGGATGTGGCAGTTATCAGCTTCGAGGCTCTTTTTTTGATGAATTGTGCTCGATCTGTATGTTGTGAGTTGAGCTTATGCCATTGCTCGGCGCTCAAATCGCAAATGTTTTTTGCCCATTACCCTAATTAGGAAAGCGGTCCTCAAAATGGATGACTGGGAAAAAAAAAAAATCCTCACATTTGTATTGCAGTAAATGTAAAGTATCCAAAGTTGTAATGTGAACTTTCCACATATTTCAACAAATGCTCTATAAAGTGAATTGAAAGAAGACACGCGTGGGCATCTGACACATCGAAAACGTTCTTAATTCAAAGAGTCTTCATGAACCATCACAACAAATCATAGAAGACAAGTTGAATTCTATCTGACCTTGCGAAATCAATTACCCACCATAAGTCGGACACTCATTTTGGTGTGTCTGCGGGTGAGTGTTTATAGAAATATATTTCTCAGTACGGGTGTGGACTTTACATCCCAGACAGGTTGCCTTGGTAACAAGGTGCTTCCCTGCCGCCGTCGGGTCTCAGCCAAGTTGGGCGCCAACGTGGCTGGATGGTGGCAGACTATGACGAGTTTGCCAGGGCGCACAATACAAACGCATCGAGACGTGGATATAATGTAGGAATATAAAATTATTCTGGAATATGGTGTCACTATGCCACACTCTGACCATCATGACTATTGAACTACGAAGACTCATCGTAGATGTGTGTGGGAATCATAAGCAAACCTTGACCAAGCCAAGGAGCCACAGTTTGAGTATCCTGCTGTGAGGGGTCACAACCTCCATCAGATTCATTGTCAGTCGGCCTATTGTGCCCCCTCGAGTACACACACAAACACACACACACACACACACACACACACACACACACACACACACACACCG